TTTTCTTTAAAGGACCTTGGAGTAAAATGTACAAGACGATAAATTTATAGGCATATTTCACCAGCAAAATAAGTTACCAAATTAGGAAAGGAGTGTAGCATCCAGTACCTCAGATTGCCTCCATTTTTCATGTGACTACTAGTTATACAATGTTAGGTTAACAGAGCTAGTCAGCAATAGCAGTCACATTGGTTTTGCAGTTGAATTATTAGTAGTAATTGTTACAGCATTTTGTAATGAGCTAAGAAATGTCTTGGTGTTTTTACTTTTATTCTTAGATAATAATTTTAAAAATTACTCCTTCTTAAAATGAAGTATCCTATCTCTGTCTTGGCTCCCTAAGTTTATCAGCATCTAAGTGAGTTTATCAGCATAAGACTTGAATTTTTTCCTGATTTCTTTTTAGGTCTTTGATTAATTTCCTTTTATTAATTTGATTTGATGGGCATATCAGTACATGGTAAAGTTTTATTATATATTCTGGGCATAACTCAACTCTTTATTTTACATGTCTGATGTTTTCTCTCTTTTTTTTGGCATGATATGATAGCCTTGTTTTCAGCGTAATGTAATAGTCAATTAATCAAAAAGTTTCTTGTGGCTTAAAGATACCATATGCCTGGGTTCGTGGACCACTGTGGGTTATGGGCTCTTTTAAAAGCCTAAGGAAAGAGTACACATTTTGTGTTCAGTTAAACCTGAATCTCATCCTGGCTTTGTTGTTTACTATCTGTTTGATCTTGAGCAAGTTACTTTACATTCTTGAGAACTGGCTTCCTTCTCTATAAAAATAAGGGTAATAAAACCTATCTGGAAGGATTATTATGAGGATTAAATAAGATATTATATGCAAAACACTTGATATTTAGTAGCTGCCTAATAAATTTGAGTTCTTATCTTTCCTAATACGGTCTTTTATAATGTTGCTGATAGGTATTTAAGAGTAGGACTTATACAAAAACAGATAAGGTTGTTTATCTCTCTTATTTTGATATCTATCCTCTAGGTGGCCATTTGATTAAGAAAACTTGTCATAGTAAACTACAATTAGTTTCAATCAGGTTACCCAGAATCTATTCTTATTTGAGTCCAAGTCCGTTTCATTTTTGTCAATAATCACAAGTCTAAAGAAATTCTTTATGACAGTTTCCTTGGGAACTCCTGTCAGACAGCAGGGAGAGCAGTCATTATTTTATGTATAGTTAGAGTTTATTTTTGTCTTATATTGGGTATGCAACAGGTTCCCTTCAAGTAGGATGGAATTTTCTGAAACACTTGTAAATTGTATCCTGCTGGGAGCTCTGACCTCTTCTTAGTAGGTCCTGCCCTGTAATCTTATAAGATTTAAGAAATAGAAGCCATATGATGTGGCTTAACTCGCCTGGCATGAATCTCATTGACCTTAAAGCTTACTTTCTTTCTGTATCATTATCCTCAGCAGAAATGGTGCTTTAGATTCTATAAGTGAAATAGTTTCATGAAGAGTACAATGTCTTGTCTCACTGTTTCAGATTGTTACAGAATACTCACATTGTGTATCCTAAAATCTGTTTTCCTCTTGATGTTTTCTTTATCTCCAGTCTTCTGTGAGGCAAAATAAAGGATAAGAGGAACTTCCAGAATTCCTGATTCTGATCCAGGTGCCTACTTGAACGTTTCCAAATGGGTATATGATGGGCATCTCAAATGAAACCTGGCCAAAACCAAACTCTTATTTCTAATTCCTATTCCTATCTCAAACATGGGCCTCCCTTCATCTTCTTCATCTCAGTAAACTAAACCATTATTCTGCCAGCTATTCGTGCTAAAAATACAGAGGTTATTCCTTTTTCCTTCATCCTTTTTATTCAGTTCATTTGTAAATCCTTTCTACTCCATCTCCAAAAATGTATACTAAAATCTGTCTATTTTTCTCCAGCTGTACTCCTGCCTCCCTAGTTTTAGCCACTTTCATCTCTGGTCTAAACTACTGAGATAGCCTGGAAAGAATTCATGTTCTTGCCTTACTACAATCTGTTTTTTCCCAAGCAGTGAGAAGATTTTTTTTAAATACGTAAGTCTTGGGGCGCCTGGGTGGCTCAGTCGTTGGGCATCTGCCTTCGGCTCAGGTCGTGATCCAGGGTCCTGGGATCGGGCCCCGATTCGGGCTCCCTGCTCGGCGGAAAGCCTGCTTCTCCCTCTCCCACTCCCCCTGCTTGTGTTCCTGCTCTCGCTGTGTCTCTCTCTGTCAAATAAATAAAATAAATCTTTAAAAAGAAAAAAAAAAAAACCACGTAAGTCTGATCCTGTCACTTTCCTGTGATAATTTATTATCTTGAAGCATAAAATCCGCAGTCCCTTCCCTTGGGTGACCCAAGGCCCCTGGCTGACAGCCTGTCTGTGATCTTCTCAAGGAGCTCTCCATTCCTCACCCGTTGCTCTTCCGCCACGCCGGTTTGATTTGGTCGCTTAAGACACAATTTTATTTCACTTAGGCTCTCTGTGATAGCGATTTCCTCTGCCTGGAAAGTTCTCTGTCCTGCTGTTTGGTAGCTTGTGCTTGTCCCTTTCGGTTGTCTTTTAGGTTCTCATCTTAAGCTTAAGTCTCCTTAGAAAGACCTTTTCTTCCTGTCCAATCTAAGTGGCCCCCAGACACATCACTCTTAATTCTAATTCTCTATAGTATACTTCTCACTATTTGATATTTTTCTCTTATCTTGCCTGTCTCATATGAGAGAAGAGATTTCACCTGTTTTATCCTCTCCTGCATGCCTAGAGCCTAGAAGAAGTACTGGAGCATAATAAATGATCAGTAAATCATATTGCTTAGAAAATTGTATTACTTATCACACCTGAGTCCCTCCTGCCCTTTTTAGAGACAGTGTCATCGTGTGCTTAGTATATAGACTTTAGACTCATGCTACTGGTTCAGATCCCAGTATGATATTTATAAACTGCGTGAATTGTTTTTGTATCTACTTTCCCTCATTGGATAGTAGAGATAATAGTATATCCTTCATAAGTTCTTTTGTGAAGGTGAAATAATGTCTATGAAGTACTTGGTGGTTGTAATAGTGGTACTAATAATAACAATAAAGACTATAGTGTTTATGGTGACAGCAGGGACTATTTTAGTAGCTAACGTTTATTGAGTATTTAATATGCGACAAGCAGTGTTATTTTCAGTGCTTTTCATTTAAATCTCACAACAATCTTTTGCCATAGGTACTATTACTTCTCTCTTGAAAAAACAAAACAAAACACAGAGAAGTAAACTCACATAAAGTCATGCAGTTAGGATGCAGACTCTGGCAGAACCACTGCTCCTAACCACTGCTGCCTTCCCCTTCATTATGCATAGTGCCTGAGTGTCGCATAAATGAATGGCAGTGATTATTATTTGCATCTTGGTTATGTTCACTGCTCTTCTCTCATTTCAAATTAACGTTTATAGGGTCTCTCTAATGTCACAGGAAGTTTGTAATATATAATACTGGTTTTAGAGAGCTCATAGCCCAATGGAACTTTATGCAGAGCTAAAGATGACTTTAGTACTCTTGTAGATATAGAATCTCTGTCTCTCTCAGACTCTTCTAGTTGTTTCCTACTTAACTTTGCTGCCTATGGCCATCATCTGCCATTATACCACCTCTAGCAAGTCCATTCTACAAGTTCCTGTCTGGATGATTTTTCTAAAATAAGGAACTGATCTGTTACTCCCTTGCTTAACACCACTCATTAGCTCTAGGTCTCCTGCAGCATTAGAGTGGGACTTTAGTGAATTCTTCTCTGGAAGTGACATTTGAGCTGAAGGAGGAAGTAGAAGTCAAATGAGAAGTTAGGGTGAAGAGGATTCTAGACTAGGATCTTGGGGATAGATAGCTGGACATTTGAGGAGCACTGAGAAGGCCAAAGGACAAAGCACTGTGAATGACAGAAATAGGAGAGAGAAGATGGCTGGGTTGGGCAGGGCATTGGAAACCTTGAAGATACTTGGATTTTATTGTGAGAAGGAAAGCCATTGAAAATTTGCAGTAATGCAGTGATAAGACTGAGTAACGTTTTATGAAGATCCTCTGGCTACGAAGTGAAAAATAGATTGGAGAGTGGGGTAAGGTAGGGAGCAGCTGATGGCAGAAGCCATGTATTATATGTCTGTCTCTGACACTTAACACAGGGCACAGTGCCAGGCGTGGGTCACTCAGTCCATGTTGGGTGATGAATGTCTGTGAAAGTGCAGATATTGACTCTTGTCATCAGTCTAGATTCAGAAAATGTGATCACTTTGTTTATGCATTGGAATCCATTTGCCATTTATTATATAATTTTTGACTCAACAGACTGACTTTTAGAAGGAGGCCCAATTCAACAGATTTCCTGTGTGTGTGTAGTAAATTCTTACAAATATATATCTTATGTCATAATTTTTGTCCATATTTTAAAATGACAGATTGGCCATTCTATTTCTGAAGAATAACCTGCAAAATTGTGCAAAGTTCTGCTGTATCTTTTCTTGGTTCAGGCTAGAAGATACATATGGAGATTTGATTTACCTGTTAAGAGATGTTGGGTTCATGGCAGATATAAATATTTTATTTTTACTGGTAAGCATATAGTTAGAATATATCTTTTATGATTTTGAAGGGAGTTTATTTTCAAATCCCTAAGTAGGAAACAAATAACAGAAAATTGTAACTGCATGTTATATACTAGGTCTTGAAAAATTAGTAAGTGCTTTTGATGGTTCATTGTAGTTTTCAGTGATGTGTTTTTTTTTTTTCCCCAGAACATTTTTCCTTTATTGTAATTTACTATAGAAATGATACCAAGATACTGGTCAAAAGCAAATGAGACCAAAACCTTTTCAAAAGTAGAAAAATTGCC